CCTTTGAAAAATATCTGAGTATTGAATTCAAGTAGGACAATTTGGGGAGGGCCCTAAGCTGTGAATTTTACAATGTGGTTTGAACTCCAAGTCTAACTCAGTGGTGTCCTCTAAAATGATGAAAATGTTCTGTATTTATATTGTCCAGTATGGTAGCCCCTAGCCACATGTGGCTGTTGAGCATATACATGTGGAAGTGTTACTAAGAAATTATTTAATTTTGATTAACTTAAATTTAATAGCCACGTGTTGTGGCTAGTGGCCACCTTATTGGGATAGCATAAAAGATGGTATTTATTGAGTCGATATGAAATGACCCAGTGCACTGAACTTGCTCTCCACCTTCTGCAGATCTCATCGCCCACCAGAAGGGACAGATAGAGAAGCAGCCGCCATTTGAGATCTACTTATGCTTTGGGGAAGAGTGGCCAGATGGAAAACCCCTGGAAAGGAAACTCATCTTGGTTCAGGTGAGGAGAGAGGGATATAACAATAACTCTTTACCTTTTTATCAAAGCTTTAGCCCCTAGGTCTGAGGTAGAGCCCTGAGCAAGGCCCTTTCAGATGGAAAACCCCAATATGGATTTTGATCCCAGCAGATTCAAGTTTTGTACATTGCACAGTAGGTCCATGCTGGGGAGTACAGGGTCCTCAAAGTGGATGATAGATTTAGTTGAGACCTTATCTTTTATTCTCTTGCTGACAAAGAGTCATCCTGAAACCTAATAGGATATGACCCTTTCCAGTTCTTTTACAAAAACCTTTGAATAACTTTTAAGAACATAACCTTTTAGGAAGTAGAAGCAAGACCATCTGGGTTTGGCCCCTGGATTTATGCAACAAGACAGGCAATAGATGAAATTTCGGTAAAAGTCTTACTAAATACGCAGTTATTTGTTTAGGTATGTGATATGATGCTACATCTAGGTTCTTTACCTTTATTTGAACCAACTTTTAGAGTGAACCTTGGTAGGATGGTTTAGAGAGATGAAGACATATCTAGAGTGGGGGGCTTTCCCCCAGCCTCACTGGTCCTTCCTTCAGTCTTGGGTCCTTCTTGCTATTTAAAAATACCTTTTTATCAGCAGATACCTGTGTGCTCTGTGTCCTGAACAGGTTATTCCGGTGGTGGCTCGGATGATCTACGAGATGTTTTCTGGTGATTTCACACGATCCTTTGACAGTGGCAGTGTTCGCCTGCAGATCTCAACTCCAGACATCAAAGATAACATTGTTGCTCAGCTGAAGCAGCTGTATCGCATCCTCCAAACCCAGGAAAGCTGGCAGCCCATGCAACCTACCCCCAGCATGCAACTGCCCCCTGCCCTGCCAGCTCAGTAATCACGGATGTCATCTTCCTTCTCTTTTTTACAATATTGTACATATGGATATTTTTTATTATTCAGATTTAACCAGCTTTTTAAACCTCTTTTCTTTCTAACAATGTTGGTAGTTTCTGACTCTCCAAATATGTCTGGTTCTTAAAGTTGATTTAATTTATGGAAAAATCACTCTTTGTACATTCCCTTTCTTTTTTTTTTTGTTGTTTAAACATCCCAGCGGTAGTATAATGTAGTAGAAGGAATTTTGACTGGGAGTTTGGACAACAGGGTTCTAGCTACAGTTTTGCTTCCATTGTGCGACCTTGAACCAAATCATTTAACCTCTGGGCTTCAGATTCATTACTGTAAAGTGAGGGGGTGGGAATGATGCCTGAATAATGCCAGCTTTAAAACTCTGACTTGATGACTTCATTCTACTTGTACCAGGCAAAACTGCCTGGAACAGAATGCTTCTGCATTGTTCTTGTCCCACATTTTTTTCTTGCTTTCATTAAAGTTCCCTCAAGCACTGATTTGTCCAGGATTGATCTCTGTTTGACCTGTTCTGCTAGTATAGTAAGCTGGCTCCCTGAGGGGGGAAGTGAGAGGGAGGGGAGCCGGCTGGTTGCTTAGGAACCAAACTTGATATCTAAATAGAAATAGGTGCCAAAGTCTGAAAGTCACCCTGGAATGCTAATAAATTGAGCTTCTAAAGGGAAGCTGTCAACACAGAAGGCCCAGAGATCCTGTGGAAGAATTGGTTGGTTGGCTGGTGTTTACCTTGCCACCACTCAGATCCCACCGTGTGTGTGTGTGTGTGTGTGTGTGTGTGTGTGTGTGTCAGGGGGTGGTGGTGGTGGTGTAGATGCGAGGGTATGACTCGGGTTCAGCCTTCAGAGAGGACAGAGCACTCTTTTTCTTTCTTTATTCTCCGAGGAAGACCTGGGGATGAGCAGGACATCTAGGAAAACTGAGTATAAGAGGGATAGTTCCTCCTTGTTTGGAGAATTTTACAGTCTTCCTGTCATTTGGATTATTTACATTTGGGAAAATGGGGTGTTGAGGTCAAGGTGAAGAAGGGCTGGGTGGTGCTTTTCTGAAAAAGGCTCACCTAGCACAAACCTGCTTGTCTCCCTAGTGGAGTAGCTGGGTGTGAATAATTAGGGTGTAGAACTTTGCATCTATAGGTGCCACAAACCAGTCTTATCCATTAACTTTTGCTTGGCCCCTGACCCTTTTGCATTTTTTTTTTAAAGGAAGTAATCATACGTGATTTAAACTTCAAGACCTAAGTGGAAAACATGATGCTAATCTCTGGTAGCAGCCCCAATCCTCTTGAACACTGATGGCTATTGGTGCCAGGTCAGTATTTAGTAAGCCCATGTCTAGTCTGCTACCCTTAACCCAAGCCACCTTGTACTTGCTCCTGGAATTGAGCTAGCTAAAAAGTTCGGCTAGCTTTATTAAAAAAACCATAGCCTCAATTCAGTCACAGTTGGCAATGGGGCTTATTTAGAATGCTTAAGCACTGGGTTTAGGGCCTTTAAGGGACCGAGTAGAATCTGCTGTTACTAAAGTATGACCAAGAGAAATCTGGGTATAGGTAAGGTACTCAGCTATGAGCAGAAATTGGACCTCTAGAGACCAGGAAACATGCAAGGTACAGAAACTTTATCTTTTTTGGTTATTTTGGTGAGTGGGTGAAGTGAGGGATTTGGTCTTGATGTCTGGCTGCCTCTGTTTGTGTCAGCATAGCTCAAAATTATAAAGAACCCAGTGTAGATAAATTGGTAGGGTAACTATTGGGTTTGGGCTGGTCCCTTTCCCTTATTCTGAGAGATGCTAACAGGCTGTCCATTTGGATTGGGGCCCAGATAACATGAGCTGGCCATGGGTATTGAAAATAGTGTTCTGACGTGCCAAGAAGCATCAACATTTTAGTAAGTGACTGTAATGAAAACTTTATAAACATATCAAAGGAATGGATGAGTGATTTTATGTGGTCTTAACTAGAGGCCTGTTCTTCCTTTTTTTTTTTTTAAGTCCTTTTCAGAACCCTGGAAGACTGCATGCAGGGCTCTCCACTGAGCTCCCCCAGCTGCTCCTTCTCTGGTCCTGGTGGATAGAACAAGTGTCCTTTGTTTTTTGGACTCAGTGCACTATCTCCTTTGGTGGCTAAACCACTCACTCCCTTGACGTATTCTACTTCCTTGCCTTCACCTTGCTGAAGACTGGGAAGAGTTAGATGGTATCACCACCTCTTCTTTTCCTTCACTGTCCAGTCTACCAAAATTAGCTCCAAGTTAAAAAGGACCCACTGTAGGTAAATTGGGAGGGCAAGTGTTGGATCTGGGCTGATCCCTTCTACATATAATTAGGTCCCTGGACAATGTTGCCATAGCACTCTATACTTCTTTCAGGTAATCAATCCCCTGTAATTGCTCAGCATCTGTGTCTTGCTTGACTACAAACTCGCTGAAGGTAGGAACTATTTGTTTTGGAGTTTGCTGCCAGCCCTTAGCATACTGTCTGGTAATAATATGTTTTCAAATATTTGTTGTTAGAATTTATAAATGAACTCAAGTTTCACTTTAGGGATTTATTGTTAACCAATATGCTAAAATAAGTATGGGGAAGGAAAAAATTCTAAAATTAGTTTCTAGTCTCTGCTTCTGACTCCCTCTGAGCTAAGGACCAGCGGTTAGACTAGGAGCCCCTACAAGCTGGTCCTCTTTGGAGGCTGGCCCCATCTTTACTGCACAGTTGTCTCTTCACCGTCTGAAGACACTACCACGGTAGAACTAGGAGTGAAACCTCCAGTGCAGGTGCCTGCAGTTCCCTTAGCCTCTGCCCTGCCCATTTAATCAATAAATTTGGGCCATATTCTCAGATAGTGGTTGAGTCCCTTCGTTGTATCAGTCATATCGCTGGTAGTTAACCCCTTCAGCGAAATAACAATTTTTCTTCTTAAAGACCTGACTGAAAAGCCTCTGCATTTCCGTGTCTCATTTTTCATGTGAACTCGGCAAACTGAACTCCTAGAACTTAAGCTCCACGAAGGTGGGGTGTCTGATTCGTACGCCGCGATACCTCCTAGAAGCATGTCGAGCACATCCTGGTACAGTGAGGACTCCTGCTCTCCACACCCAGCTTGGAGATGACGAACCTGGGCCAGGATAGCACCTGTCCACCCACTTCTCAGAATCCAGCTGCTCTAATTTAGGACTAAGGCGGGTCAAAGTTTCAAAAACAAAACAAAACCCTAAAACGTTGTAGCACCAGCCATAGGTGTGTAGATTCTGCAAAACAGGTCGCTCGTCCTGAGATACATTTCGTTTGGAAGGGAAATCGCTTCCAGACACAAACGAGAGTGTTTCTGCGCCGTGTGTCCTGCTTCTGACTTCCCGGTCCTTTGGGACAGCTGCTCCACAGCACGTAAGGGTAGCAGGTGGCAGCCAGCTCACCAGGTCCCACCTTCCTAGGGCCACCTCCGCCCCTCGCGGTGCCCACGCAGACGGGCGTGGCCGGCTTCTGTCTGGACGGAAACGCTCGACAGCAGGATCCAGTGGTTCTAACGCGAGGCGCGCGAACGGGCTGAATGACGTCACAGAAGGCCGCAGGGGAGGGGAGGAGTCACGCTGGGCATGCGCAGTCGACGAACTTCGACAACCGGAAGCCGAGTGGGCGGGGCTTATGGTGTGGCCGAGTGCAGCCGGTCGTGTGGCAGCGCGAAGGGACTGGAAAAAGAAGTTTCTGAGCCCGCGAGCCTGCCGCGGAAGTGGACGAAGAACGTATGTGTGTGGGAGAGAGACCTCTGCCTCGTTTAATAAATCGCGATAATTTGCTCAGAATCGGGTGCGGGGTTTAGAGTGAGCCCATCCGCCCAGGGTCTGTGGATGTCGGCCAGAAGGGGATGGAGAGGCCCGCAGAAGTTAAAATACAACCCTCCTCCCATTCTAACACATTTCACTCATTTACTTTTATGCCTCAGGGTGAGATAGTTGTTAGTCCACATTCTTGTGTATGCCAGTTTAATCAGATTTCTGTTCTCAGACTTACTCTGGCAGGAAGAGAAGGGGAAACTGGCAGTGGAAAGTGCATTTAGAACCCAGAACTCTGTCTCAGAGGACACTTTTGGGTGAAATGCTCTGACGTTTGCCAGACACTGTCTTGCCTCTTCTCTGCCCCAAACTCCTTACAGTTTGAATCAGAGAAGGTAATTTACAAAAGATACAATGTAGAATAGAAGCCAGAGAATATAAATCTAGTCCCAAATCCAGAAAGACACATGCATTCGGGACTGAGGGAGACAATCATCCATAGGAATCGGGCAGCCTTGCTGACCCCATCGTGTCTGGCCTGGGTTAGCATTCCAAAGCAGAGGGAGGGACAAAATGACCTTTGGAAGATGCTGTAAGACTTAGGGGAAAGCTCTTGGCAGGCTTCCTGGTTTGTCACTGGCTGATGTTAATAATCCCCTGGTCCTGCTTTGTTTTTAGGCCCTTCAAGTGTCTGGAGCTCAGAGATGTTGCCCAGGGGAGGGAACTGTGGCTAGTTAAGGAGGCCACGCCTAATGTTGTTTCCAGATCCCATGTCAACACCAAGTCCTCAGTTGCTGGTGGCAGCTGCTCAGGAGACCCTGGGCATGGGAAAGAGACGGAGCCCACCCCGAGCTGTCTGCCTTCACCTAGCCGGAGAGGTACTAGCTGTGGCCCGGGGACTGAAGCCAGCTCTACTCTATGATTACAACGGAGCAGGGGCATCAGAGCTCCAGAGCTATCTGGGGGAGCTGCAGGGTCTGGGCTTCCTGACCGAGGGACTTCACATCCTTGAGATTGGAGAAAACAGCCTGATTATCAGACCCGAGCATGTATGTCAGCACCTGGAGCAGGTGCTGTTTGGTACCATAGCCTTTGTGGATGTTTCCAGCTCCCAACCTCACCCTTCTATCCACTCCCTGGACCAGCTTCAGGACTTGAAGTCCATCATAGCTGAGATCATCACCCATTTGCAGGGGTTGCAGAAGGGCCTATCCCTGGAAGTCTCCTGCAGCAGGCTCTGTTCCTCAGACTGGAATCTCTGTACTGTGTTTGGGATTCTCCTGGGCTATCCTGTTCCCTATACCTTTCACTTGAACCAGGGAGATGACAACTGCTTAGCCCTGACCCCACTACAGGTGTTCACTGTCCGGATCTCATGGCTACTTGATCAACCCCCAGTCTCGCTCTATTCCTTTAGTGTCCCAGAGAGCTTGTTCCCAGCCCTGAGGGACATCCTGAACACTTGGGAAAAGGACCTTAGAACTCGATTTAGGACTCAGAATGACTTTGCAGACCTCAGCATCTCCTCTGAGATAGTCACACTGCCAGCTGTGGCCCTCTGACTAACTCCCATGTAGAGAGTACTCAGTAAATATTCAGCTCTGAGTCAGGGATTACAAATAGAAATCATCTCAAGGGCCAATTCTGAGCATCTTGAGAACAGTAGGGAAGAATGCTGTAGTCAACTGGCCCATTTGTGATGGGCACGGGAATGGGGTGGTGGCGGCAGCATTGGTAGTACACATTCACCATTTCTGAAATCTGGAGTCCTCTTGACTTAGCTGAGATGTCTTTTCCTTCACCGGATATAAGATAGAAGAAAAGAGATTGTGGAGAAGAGGGGGAGGTGGGGTGGGTGGAGGTAGAGGAAGGTGTAGGGGGATAAATGGTCATGGAAAAAAAACTATATATAAAAAAAGAAGATTGTAGAGAAGAAAAAGGGAGGTGGAGGGCAAGTGATGTACCCCTGTATATAATGTATGGTATTGTAGCGTATATATACCTACCCTATGTAGGTAGTGCTCACCAGAAAATAACAGCACTGGGCTTTCCTGCATGCTTATTCATCTCCAACTGCATTGGACTGAGGAGAGTAGACCAGGATGCTCAAGTGTCTTATATTTGTGATACGATAGGTAGGTCATAGGTAGGTCATTCAGGAATAAACAGACTTCTGGGGAACAGTGACTGTCAGGTGAAGTTTATTTGTTTATTTTACAGTATGTTAAAAAAAAAATAAAGTCAGAAGTCTCATTTGAATTGGGAAAATCCACACTTTAACCAAACCTTCTGAGGCTTTATATTGAGTTTCTTGCTTCTGATTTTCACCCAAGGCAGTTGTCACAAGTTAATCAGATCATCAGGCTGTCCTTGTTGGCCAGGAATACTGCTAGTGCTATAGCAATCATCACCATCAGCATCGATAGCCATCGACCACACTGCCTCTGAGCCGGGAGGGGGAGAAAAGAGACAGAAGCCATGGGTTGGTTGGAGAAGATATAGGCAAAAATAATCTCCCTTCTTCCCATTCTGGCCTATTGGGAAATCTTGGGTTGGTGGAGGAGGGAAAGGTTTTTACATTACTCTATCACTTTGTATAAAACCACTTTAATGGTGATCACTGGCCCATAAGCCAGGATCATTGGCCCAGGGAACCACAGCCAGCCAGGGCCAGATACTTAAATACTGATATGTCCAATCAAAGGTGGAAAATAACTCGGCAAAATTACTTTATTCTCTGTTCATATTCCTTGGCACTTTTTCTCTCCTCATTCTGATCTTGCCACTACAACACTCAATAGGCTAAAAAACACCATTTCGTACTTTAGCTAATGGTAAGTCTTTCCTTTTAGGTTTAAGGGCTCCATGAAAATTAAGCTTGGACTCATAAGCCAGTGTTTCTGTCCATGGTTACTATACTGTCAGTATAAACCAAACCGAATGTGGCAGGCTGGTCAGATGTTAATGTGGGCTGATAAATTTTATCTGTGAGATTTGGCTAAAGGAAGAATAGTCCCATTATCATCTAGGGCTATGTGGGAGGATCCGTGCTCTTACTCTGGGAGGCAGCTGCTGGCTCTGGTTCAGGTCTTCTCGACAGTGCTGCAGCTTACGCAGGCAGGAGAGATACTCATCACTGAGGTTGTCTAACTCTGAATGCAGTTCTTTGCACTGAGAGGGAGAATACCACCAAGGTCATCACCAGGTACAGGAGAGGGCCCCATGTAAGTTACCCCTTCATTCATTTGGACTTTGTACCACCTTCTTGCCTTCCCAGGCTTCCTCAGTGATTTCAGTTTGCCTTTTGACTATCTCACCTAGCTTGTCTGGAATGTGTTCATTTACATGATTGATTATAATGCATATTATCTTACGTAAGTAAGTGCTTTCATGTGACAGTGTGCAAATGCTTTGTAAATGGGGACACCGGAAAATGAAGTTCTTATAGCACAGAAGACTTGGAAGTGCTCATAGTACAAGTCTTTTCGGCAGTAGCCGAGGGTATGAGTTTGTGAATTTGTAGATAGGCAGAGTTTTGTTATTTAAAAAACTCTAAACTTAGTATAGGGAAAAGTTTGAGGAGTTAACATTTGTTAAGTATGTTTGAGATAAATAAGGAAGGGAAAAGACTGACTAACTCTAAAGCAAAGACATTTTTTTTTACAGGTAAATGAACACCTGCAGACATCCAATCACAGTGCAGATATTGAAATCCCTAGTCCAACAATACCTCCCAGCGGTTTTCCATATCACTGTGGGCTGAGTCCCCCACTATCTGGGGTCACCTTCTCACCTCCTGTTCCTTGGCCTGGAGCTGCAAGGTCTTCTTTTGCAGCTGGTCTCTGAAATCCCAGTCTTTCTCCTTCCCTGTACCCTCAGGCTCCACTTCCTTATGGGAGGGCTTTGGACTCCACTCAGACAAAGCCTGGTCTAAAAAAGCAGCCAGATTCTCAGTGATAGTGAGGCCCACACCTCTGAGCAGGACCCTGTCACTGAGAAAACCCCTAGGAGTGAGGGGAAGGGAAGGGAGAGAAAAAAGGAGGGCCTGTCTTTGGTTGGACTTCATGGAATGGAGTTCTCTGACTTTTAAAGAACTCCCATTAGGACCCTGCTCGTCCTGTACAGAGAGTTGGAATTTGAGTCCCACTGAGGGCAAAGTTGGCATCTTACTTTTCTTTGTATCCCTAGTCCTGTGTAATGCCAGATACTTTTAGAGTACACTTATTAATTCATTATCTTTGGTTATGGGTCACATCCTTCCCAGTTAGTCTGGTAGGTTTGCTGGATGCTTCAGTATAATCCCCTTTCCCTTCTGTTCTCATTTCAGTCGTGAGAAGGCAATCATGTCCTAGAATTCATCTTCATGTGGTTACAAAAGATTTTCAGCCACCTGGCAGTCTTAGTCTTGTGAAGAGCATACTGGACTAGGAGCCAGGAATTCTGGATTGTTGTCTTAGCTGTGTCTTTAATCTGTATGACTGTAGACCTTCATTTTCTTATCTATTTTATGTGGGTATAATTTCTGCCTTATAGTTTACCCAGTGACTGTGATGAGAAAACAAAGGCCATGTGTAGTGGATAAATGAGGAGCTTTTGCCCCTCCATAGCATGATGAAATCTTCTCAGGAAGCTAAGGCAGTAGACTCTTGAGGGCTGAGAGTGAGGTAATTGTTGATGCAACATGGTGTAGACTTGGGAAGTTGAGTGATTTGGAAAGTCAAGTGTAAAAATTGACATGAAATTCTGAGTTCAAAATCAATTTATTGAAATGTTCAACACAGACATATGTTTTCAGGGGAAGTAGAAACCCTTTTGCACAGTCTACATACCTTTCAGGATAGGAGGCTGACTAGCTAAAGGGTTCTCAGAGCCAGTGATAAGTCCTTAAAAAGCTTCCCCAGATCCCTGACCTAACAGACTTCCAGAACCAGATGGAACTCCAAGAGGTCATGTAGTCCATCCCCCTGCCTCTAGGCAGGCATGAAAAGAGCAATGCCTTAGAATTTGTGGAAGTAAATTTGCTGACCTTTCTTTGTTAAGAGTTTCTCCTGTTCTTGAAGCTGTAAAGATTGACTCTGAAGCAGACCTGTTGGAAGACACAAGAAACTTGTCTGTGCTAGCATATTTACAGCAAAGAATGTCTTTTCAGAACTTTGCTCAGAACCTTAATTCTTAAAGATGCTTCCATCTGTTACTGGTTGAATTGTATTCCCCTCAAATTCATATGTTGAAGTCCTAACTCCCAGTACCTCAGAATGTGACCTTTTTAGAGGAAGGAATTTTACAGAGTAATCAAGTTAAAATAGGACATTAGGGTGGCCCTAATCTAAGTAAGTGGCGTCCTTATAAGAAGGGGACATTTGGACACAGACATGCATAGATAGAAGACATGTGAAGAGACACATGAAGAAGACGGCCATCCATGAGCCAAAGGAAAGTAGCCTGGAACAGATCCTTCCTTCAAAACCGTCAGAAAGAACCAACCCTGCTGACACCTTGATCTTGGACTTCTAGCCTCTAGTACCATGAGAAAATAAATTTCTGTTCTTTAAGTCACCCAGTCTGTGGTACTGTTATGAATCCACCTTCCTTGTATCTCTTCCCACCATGTCTTTACCTTTCAGTCTCTGCTTAAACCTTACCTTAGAAGAAAAGCTTTTCCAGATGACCCTGTATAAAATAGCAAATATTTTCCTTTAACCTGCTTTATTGTTCCCCATAGCAGTTATCACTACCTGACACATACTTGTTTGTTCATAGAAACTCCCTACTTTAGAGCTTACTTAGAATGTAAGCTTCATGAGGCAAGGAAGTGTGCCAGTTATGTTCTTTACTGTGTCCTCAGTGTGTGTAGCTAGAGTGCCTGGCACTCTGTAGGAGCTCATTAAATATGCATTGCATAAATAAACCCATGGTTTTCAAGTGACGCCTTGCCCACCCAGCACCTGCTGTGGAGGAGCACACCTTCTGCCAGTGTTTTATCTCTCTTTCCCTGTGGCTACCTTGCTCTCAGTACTCATTGCTGTGTGCATGAACTTCTGTGCCCAGAGTCAGAGGTTAAGGTGGTGGGCAACCAGCAGAACTGTTAATTAAATCAGGTTCTCCAGTTTCTCAGAAGTTGTCTACCTTTCTTATGAAAAGTCCCTTTTCCTCGTTGGCCCCAGTATGTAGTTTTGAAGTGGACTGAGGCATATATCGTGCGAGCTTATTTTCTGAACCATTCCTAGTGACAAAGGTTTGTGTGACACATTTGTGTACATAATAAGAATATATAAAATAACTTCTTTAGAAAACTCAACACTTGAGTCCAGCCGGTGTGGCTCAGTGGTTGAGTGTCGACCCGTGCACCAAGAAGTCGCCAATTTGATTCCCGGTCGGGGCACATGCCTAGGTTGTGGGCCAAATCCCCAGTCGGGAGCATGCAGGAGGCAGCCAATAATGTTCTCTCTCATCGATGTTTCTATCTCTCCCTCTTCCTTCCTCTCTCTCTCTAAATCAGGAAAGAAAAAGAATTTAAAAAAGGAAACAACACTAAAAAACCTGCAGTTCTGGGGGAAATGCAGGTGGTTGTCATGGGCGTGGAAAGAGAAACAAAGAAAAAGGACAGGCTAATATATAATATGTGAAGAGCTATGTAAATGACCTCACTTCTTAAGAAGAGGGTCTGAAAATGCACAGAGGTGGGGGAGATGCCAAAGACTGCCCGCCCCCCCCCCCATGCCTTTCATGGGGCAGGAGCCCCAGGAATACCAAAAAGCCATCTGCTAATTTTCTAATCTGGCCAGGGAACTTACTCTGCAAGTGCTGTACTTTGGTCACCAGGGCGAGTTTCTCCTCCTCTGACCTCTTTAGTTGATCTAAAAATGAAATAAACCAAAATAGAAGAACCCAAGATTAATGAACTTAACACCCGAGGATGAAAATTCATAATAGGTACGGCCTTGTCCGTGGCCTCTGATATGTGTCAAGTGGAAGTTACTCTTTCTTCGAGGTGTCCCAGTTCTGAAGAGGTAAACCAGAACCAAAGTACCTTGGATGTTGCATTAACAACTGGGGTTGAATTAAGTGTTGTATTTGCCCACAATTTGGTCCTCTCTCAGCTGACTGCAGAGGCTGTGATGGAAACCTTTCAACTGACCTTTCCCTTTCAAATTAGGAATGCGGCCTTGCAATGTGGGAAGTTGTGATCTGGCTCAGAGATGGGCTGAAAAAGAGCTGATACTACAAGATTCTCTAGTGCCACTAAATTAATTTTTAGTCTTGGATGATTAAATCAGCCCTGCCTTTCCCCTAAGGGAAGACGAAATTTTAAAGCCAACCAAACAAATGAAAGACTAAATGAGGCCTTTCTCTCCATCCAGCTTTCTTTTTCTGGGCTCACTCAGCTAGAGGCCCCCAAAGAGAAGGGTACCTTGTAGGTGCTGGGTATCTGAGCTGCACAGGTCTCTGTCTCCCTGTAGGCATTCAGTCTTGGCCTGCAGTTCCTGGTGCTCATTCTCCAGAAGTCGAAGAGCCTGCTTCATCTGCAAGTCTATACTGTCTGCTTCCTGCAGGGAGGAAGAGGGGCCGACACAGAAGCAGGTCAGTGGTAGGGTGGAGGGTGGGGCAGATCCCATGGAAGAGGAAAATTATTGAAAATTGTTGAATTTGAGAGATAGGAGTACTAGGGAAATAGAAAAATAGGCAAGTTTTTATTTTTTTAAAATTTCCTCTGCTCTGTTCCTCTTACTACAGTACATTAGATTTAAAAAAAATATATATTCACAAGGGACTTATTTGGGTAAATGCCCAAATTAAGGAATACCAAATCATCATTTTTGTAAATGTCTTTTCATTCAAGCACTATCAAATTTTTTTGGTAGTGTCATTTTCACGAAGAATTTAGGTTAAAAAGATTTAGAAGAATTGGCCCAGCAGATATGGCTCAGTGGTTGAGCATCGACCCATGTACCCAGAGGTCGTTGGTTCGATTCCTGGTCACAGCACATGCCCAGGTTGTGGCCAAATCCCCAGTCGGGGGGTATACAGGAAGAGGCCAATTAATGTTTTCTCTCATCAATGTTTCTATTTCTCTCTCCCTCTCCCTTCCTTTCTCTCTAAAAATCAATAAAGAAAAAAGAAAAAAAAGATTTAGAAGAATTGCCTTGTAGGTGATAGAGATACGGATGCAATGCAGTGACCAGCTAGGTTCACGCCTTTGATGAGACACCCTCTTATCAAGAGACTGTATCCAGGTCCCTGCTTCAGTAAAATTAGAAAGATAAGCTTTTGATGTGGGTCCTCAAAATTCCAAAACAAGAAAAATCTATGAAAAATAATAGCTAATATTTATTAAGGGCTTATATGTACCAGGCATTGTGCTGAGTGCTTTGCATGGATCACATTCTTAAACCTCACAGCAATCCTATGATACAGCCACTATTATTATCCTCATTTCAGAGATGAGGAAACTGATGAAGTTAGTTAACTTCTCCAAGGTAATGCCGATCAGACATGATGGAACTCTTGAGAATGCCAAGGATGTGGCAGGGTATGTTAGTTAATTCTCAACCTATAAGTAAACTAATGACATTTCTGTGCCAGTAGTGGGCGTTTCTGAATGGGATGCTATACTGGGATGGGGTGCAGAGGGTGAGTTGGGATATGATAGTAGGCGAGTTATTTCAGCCCTTTGCATTTGGATGGTGTCATTCCAGTGAACACTTAGTTCATTTGCATGGGCAGATGTCCTTGCTAATCTCAAAATTAGTTTTCAGCACCCAAATGGAGTCTGGTGCAAAGTGGTCAGTGAATGAGGAACTGAAAGCCAGATGCTCTCAGCTGCCTTTGGGGCCCCCAACCCAGGAGCAGTTTCTCTCATCATGGCTGTCACCAACCCTCCTTCCCCTAACCCCTGCCTCCTCGGGCACCTCTCCATTCCCAGCCCTGGTACCTGCAGTTTGGACTGAAGCGCATGGAACTGGCTCTCCAGCTCTCTGTGCTGGGTCCCCAGGGTCCTCCAGTCCTCCTTCAGAGCCTCATACTGGCTCCTCCACTCTTCACACTTCTGCTCAGCCAGAGCCAGGGACCACTGAGGGAGATGAAGGGAGAGGGTGGTACCTTGAGGTTCCCTGGAGTTGTGCAGCTGGCCCCCAGAGCTTCCCTGGGGTCCCCTGTCTGAGTGCTGTGCAGCGCCCCCGCACCTGCGTGCTCTGCAGTCGCTGCTCTGCGCTCATTTTCTCCTCCAGCACTTTCTGCAGGGACTCCTTGGCTTTCTGCTCGTAGCTGTTTTTCTGGTCTTCCATCTCCATTAGTACCCTTTTCATTCCCCAAGGGGAATATTTCTGTAAATTTGAGGCAAGTCAACAAATACACATTGAGTTTACATAAGCCAAATCCTGAGCTGGGATACAGAAATGAAAAGAATTTGGTCCTTGCCCTCAGGGCAGAGACACCAGCAATCTGTTGGAGGTAGTCAGGGAAAGTCCCTCAGGTGATGTGAAAGGTGAGTGGAGATAAACAGGCCTTTGGCATGCTGAGCATTGTACCCTCAGCCTTCCACAGGCATGAAATCCAGCATTTCCAAAGGGAAATCATCTCTCTAAATCTGCTCCTTTCTCTTGGGCGTCCCTTATCCCTTATCTTCATGACAAGCATCATCACCCTTCCAGTTTCCCAAGCCATAAACCAGGGAGTCACCTTGATTTCTCTCTTACTTTCTCCCAGTATTCAGTGGGTAATTGACCATTGTCAAGTCAACCTTTACAGCTCACACCTCTCTCCTCTCTATCCCTACTGCCACTCCCTTAGTTCGGGCTCTAATAATGCTATTACATCGGTCAATGCAATGGTCTCCCTACCTTTAAGACTTGCTACCCTTCAAACTCTTTCAATCCTGCAGCTATTAGGTTATCTCTAAAATGCAAATCTGATCATGTCACAATCTGCTTCAATCTGTCCATGGATTCTCAGTGTTCTAAGGATCAGGTCCAAACTCCTTGGCATGGTTCCTACTTACAAACATGAACTTTCATTCTATGCTGCCTCTCTCCAAGCTGAACTGCTTGCCGAGTCCCTAAGCACTGTACTTTCTGGCCTCTGCCTTGCCCGTGTTGATGCTGCTGCCCAGAGCATCCATACCCACCCTTTTCACCTGGTTAACTTTTACTCATGCTCAAGGTTCAGCCCAAGAATCATGTAATTTCTAATAAATCATAACCGACCACCCCCAACTCATTATGGATTAGGTAGCTTTTCTTAGTGTTCATATAGTAACCCCTGCATGTCTCTCTCTTTCCACTCAATCCACTATCTCCTTCAGGGGAGGGGCAGGGAGCATGCTTTATTATTATTTTTAAAATCTTTGCAGCTTCAGTAATCCCCAGTAAATTCAATTAATGTTTTAAAATTGATACATTTGCATTTAAAAAAATTCCTTCTGGCTTCAGGGTCGAGAAAAAGAAGAGCAATTTTGTAAGTTCACGGAGAGTCTTGCCCTCTCTATGCCTTTCTTTTCTCTCCTTTATTTTATTCTATCTTTCCCATCATCATTTATCCCTCATGCACTCTTTTCCACCTCCATCCCCCACCCCGAATAGTTACTGTTGTGCGCATCCATGAGTTCTTTCTCTTTTTAAAAAAATCCACACCCAAGGATATGTTTATTGATTTGAGAGAGAGAGAGAGAAACATCTATGTGAGAAACATTGATTGATTGCCTCCCATGCACACCCTGATGGGAATCGAACCCACAACCTTTTGGTGAATGGACAACACTCCAACCATCTGAACCACCCAGCCAGGGCCCCACGCCTTTCATCTTTATGCCCTGTGATTTTGGGAGACAGAGGCAGCTTTTACTGTCAATTCTGAATTACCCACTGGGTAAGCAATAATCTAGATGCAAATTTAGAGAACAGTATGAAACCATTTTCATTTAGCTTTAGAATCATCTAAAAATTTGGATGAAATGTGAATGGGTCTTATGTTTTTGGAATTTTCATTAGAAAGCATATCCAGAAATTATTGGTTGAGGTCATACATAGGTATGCCTCCATTATTGACGTAACTATGCTGGTCACTGGCCAATTTTATTCTGTATTGAAAATGAATTCATTTGCATTATGGATTATATGTTGGTCTCTTATGAGATTGGCTGGCATTATTTAGTTTGGAAGAGACTGACAAAGGAGGTCATACTGACAATTTAAAAGTTGTGGATCAGCAAATCTATAGACTATATACATTCTTCTTCTGCAAGACTCCAACTGTGTGGCCAGGTCCACCTTATTTCTCTAACTCCAGATAGGAGCAGTCTTCCTGCTCTACTTCATTCTCTTATTTGACATGTCCCCACCTGTCAGAAACATGTCACTTCTCAAGTGTGAAAGCTGGTTTCTTCCTATCTCTTGTAATCCAAGATTGGGCCAATCAAGAGATTCCTGGAGGATAACGATGTCACAGGGTCCCCGAGAGTCAGGCTTACACTCCCTGCAGGTGGCTGTGAGATAAGTTGCCCATGGGATGGAAGTACTTTTGCAATATTTTATTATAACCTTCAGCTCATCTGCTCAGAGACTAGGGCCTGTGCATGTCTATCTGGGCGTTGGGAATCTTCACCAAGGCTCCTCTCTGCGGTTCCAGGTATCCTCAAGGTTGCCCTAGAGCTGGCAAAGTGCTTGGTGCTGGGATTCCTTCCCAGGGTGCAAGAGAAGGGCACTGGCAGAAGGGAGAGGCGGAGGAGATAGAGAATGGACACACGGTAAATTGGGGATCAAAGTGAAAATGGCAAAGCCAGAACTGGGTGAGCAGGAGGGTGTGCACTGATCTCTATCAGGTGGCATTTCCAGAGCGTAAGATGGAGGTTCAAGCATTCTCCTCTAATTCTAGATCCCTGGGCTGGAGGTGTTCTCCAGAATGCTTACCTGGGTACAGGTGTACAGCTGGTTTTCCAAAGATCTCAGTTTGCCCTTCAGTTTGTCTTCATTAAGCTGTCCCTGGAACAAATGGGATGAGGAAAAGAATTTGAGCCAAAATATAGTGTACAAAACGTTCCGTTCTGCATCCCAGTCTACCGCCTAGAATGTGGTCTGTGCTCAGTGTTGGGGAAACTGAACTCTTTCAAGAGGTAGGGAGGAGGAAAGATGACAAAGCATTTTTGGGCAGAAGAAGATCTTTTCCTCTTTTTCTGGAATAGGAGAAGGAAGAATCAGCCTGACTCCCAAAGTCCTCTTTGTACGTTGAGGTTATCTATCAAATGGCTTGCTGTGGTTCTCAACCTTCCTAATGCCATGACCCTTTAACACAGTTCCTCATGTTGTGGTGACCCCCAAACATAAAATTATTTTTGTTGCTACTTCATAACTGTAATTTTGCTACCGTTATGTCTTAGGTGACCCCTGTGAAAGGGTTGTTCAACCACCAAAGGGGTCGCGACCCACAGGTTGAGAACCGCTGGCTTAGGGTATCCCAGCAGGGGTCTGCTTGAAGGAAAGCTTCGAAGCTGTCTTTTCCTTCCCTCATTGCCTCTCTCCCCTGTCTGTCTGGGCACTTCTGTATGCCTCATCTTCTCTCAGTCTCAAGTACAGGCCGACAAGAAGAAAGGCGTCTCCCCTCCCAGGGGGAATATACGTTCTCTCCCTTACCCCCTGTTATGTGCTGAATTGTGCCTCCCCCATTCATATGTTGACATCCTAACCCCCAGTATCTCAGAATGTGACTGTATTTGGAGATAGGGTCTCTAAAGAGGTAATTAAGTTAAAATGAGGTCATCAGAGTTGGCTCTATTACAATACGACTGGTGTCCTCATAAGAAGAGGAGATTAGGACATCAGGATACGCAGAAGGAAGACCATGTGAAGACACAGGGAGAAGACAGCCACCTGCAAGCCAAGGAGAGATGCCTTAGGAAAAACCAACCCTGTCAGCATCTCAGACTTCCAGCCTCCAGAATTGTGAGAAAATGTCTTTCTTTTGGTTAAGCCACTCAGGCTTTGGTACTTTGTTATAGCAGCCCTAGCAAAATAATACTGTCCCCCCCCACCCCACCCTGTCCCCACGTTACAACTCAAAGTAAGAAATTCTTTAAGAAAAGAAGTGGAGTAGAGATATTAATGTAGGGTGTGTGTGTGTGTGTGTGTGTGTGTGTGTGTGTGTGGTGCACGCATGTGTGGGGGTAGGGCGTGTGAAGAGGGCTTTCCAGAAAGCCACATTCTATTTATTCATAATCTGAATCAGTCTAATGGCATTTTGGACATTGCAGGAGGGATGCTAATCTCAAGGGTGAGGGGGGAGGAAAGCAGGCAGAAGGGGCCATCTGTTTCTCCAGTTTTTAGTCTTTTCAGCTGCGGAGCTAACAACTTCCTTCCCTCCACCTGTAGACTTGTCCCTTTGTCCAGGTAGGGGTTTTGTTGTTCTAGCCCTGACTTTGATTTAAGGTTGTGTAGATGAGGGGGTGGGGGAGTGGGGAGGGGGCCAAGGAGAGCTAGTTTCCCAAAGAAAAGGTTGCAGGTCTCTTTAGGAGTAAATGATTTTCAGATCCTTTTTCTGGCTTTTTCCAACCAGGCCCTTTGAGACACTGTGAGGTCTAGAAATGACATTTCTCCGCAGGCCCGAGGCACCGTGGTTCCTCTCTATAATAGCCTGGGGGTGGAGGAGGGGACTCTGTTTTGAGGTTGGCCCCGTCAGTGAGTTTCAGGGCACCAGGGTAGGCAGGAAGTGGTATCTCACAGCTCCTGTTTTGCTCTTGTTTGGCTGATTCTTCTAACCAGGGGAGCCAGGGGGCACCCCCACCCTTTCTGCTTCCTGTATTACTCAGCCGGGCCTTGCAAAAGCAAAAGCTTTGCCAAAAATAATTTTTCAAAGTGTCTCCTGCTATTAATGTTTTTCATAATGTTTCGTGTGAGAGCTAAGAGTCAGGGATTTCGAATGTACCATTGCCACAGGGCTTTGGGACAGATAAAGGAGATGGACAAAGACTTCCACTGTTCTGGGCTTTGGAATAACAGGTACAGGGCTGCATTCCCCAAACGGCCTGTTCATTGTCAATGTGCAGGTCCCGAATCCACTCCCTCCACACCCTCGTCTCCTGCTTCAGATCTCCCGACTCGGAGCCTTCCCTTTGCCCGTACCCTTCCTGTGCACACTGCAATCAAACCCACGTCTAAGGTTCATCTTGCTGTTGTTTGGGAAGAAAACAGACCACCCCAAGGCAAGAGTCTTCCATTTTCCCCAGTGTCCTACCCTTTTTGGGTAGCTCCTCTCTCTTTCCTTACTATGGTTTTAATCCAACTGTTTTTGTATCTTAGCTGCACCCCAGAGTACCTTTTCATTCATCTTACAACAGAATACAATTCAGGATAGCCCCTTTGGGGGGGTGGGTAAAGGGCCATTCAGAAGGAATTCTCTTGTCTACAGCTGTGGACAACGGCAGGCAGAACCATTTCGGCCAAGTCGAGGCAAAGGGGGCATGCCGTTTCCTGCTTTGAGCCCGGCTCGCCCCACATGAAGCCCTGTGGTATAGCATGTGGCGAGAAGCACTTGTTATGGGCCTTTAGTAGACTTTTTTGGGCAATTGCACCCTTGGAGCCCAGGGCTCAGGGAGCATAGAACCCCCATTTGGAAGAAAGAGTGAGGTGGAGGCCATACACACCTGGTGCTGGTCTGAGGGCTTCAGCTCCTGCTTCTACGTGGCTCTCCCCGCCTCTGCTCTCCAGGAGCGCTTGCACCTCACCGCAGAGGTGCTGGCCCCCAGCTCATCACTGCGCTAGCAGGGGTGGCTCAGCCAATCCCCTTCACGCTGTCATCTCAAGATCTCACATCTACTTTGCGGAACTTAAAACCCACTTGTGTGCGCTCCTGTTTTTGTATTGCCCAATGCTGAGCTGGCTTTCCTGCCAGAACGGTTTCTGCTCTGACGGTTGTCCCCAGCTTAGGACTCTGGTGGTACCCGGCGGCCTGTTGCATCTAAAAGGTCCAGAGTCAATGGGGGGAGCTGATCCTTGGGTTCTAACAGTGTGTTGTGAGCATTTTTGCATTTGAAGTTGGAGATTCAAATCATAGAGGCCAAATGGGAAAAACAAAGGCTTGAACTAGGCTGAATGTCAGAATCCCTGTTACATCTCCCCAATTATTTTCCCCAAATACCACAGACTGGGGTTGTCCTTTCATTAAAGCTGAGGCTTCCATGGAAGGGGTAGTAGGTTGAATTGTCTTGTTTTTGGGGAAAAGTAACGGAAAAGTCTTCATTGAAAAGTCTGAGACCATTTTTCTTAAAAACAGGAAGCTCGGGGGTTAGTGGGGAGGAGGAAAAAGAGGAGGGTGAGTAGTGGGAGGGATGGGGAGAAGGAGGGAGAAAACCACAGCCCGGGGAACTTCTGCTCGCCTGCTGGAGTGTGGTGTGAAACCGCCCCTCATAGTCTACCTCGGAAATGCCTCCTAACATCTGCTCCCTACATCTCCTCCCTGCTCCCGCCAAGCGAGCGGTCATTCCTGCTCTGACTGGGTCCCAGCTGGGTATTAAAGGGTGTTCTCCACCCCCACAGCCACCTGGAGCCAAGGTCTTCACTTAAAAACAGGAAGTTGTCAGAGAACCTTCAAAACACGGATCTCATCACTCACTTTCTTTTTTTTTTATTCCTCACCTGAGGACATTTTTCTATTTATCATTAGATAGAATGGGAGGGAGGGAGAGAAAGAGAGAGAGACAGAGAGAAACATTGACTGGTTGTCCCCTGCATGACCCAACCAAGGCCGGGGATGAACTGCAACAGAAGTACATGCCCTTGACTGGAATCGAACCCGGTACTCATTGGTCCGCATGCTGACGCTCTAACTGCAGAGCCATACCAGCCAGGGCTCATCACTCACTTTCAATTCAATTCAGAGCTATTAATTGAGCTCCTCTTAAGGATGGAGCAGACACTGTAGGACTTTGAACCTGAGTAAAGTGTAGTTCCATTGCTACCCTGCTAATTGTCTATAGTGGTGTTTCCAAACTGGGGGTAACATGCAATCTCATGGGTCTGAGATATCTAGTGTTCCCTCTAGAGTGGAGTCCATGCATTACTTAGGTCGGAGATAGCACTATGTTCAGCAGAAAAACTTTAAACCTCATAACACTAGAGACCGGTCTGAGGTCATTTCTGGTTTTGTCTTTGGAACCACCCTGACATGATCTCTTCATTCCATCCCCACTCCCAGTATGTTGCCATACCTAGGCCTGTAATTAATCTCTCTACCCTTCTGCTTTTTCTTCCCCATCATCATTTTGTACTGATAAACTCCTACTCATCCTGCAGGACCCAGATAAAATGGTCCCTGTCTTTTAGAACCTACCCTATTCCACTGCAGGCAGAATAATTGCTCTCTCTTCTTTTCGGTATCACTTTTCCAACTACAGATCTGTCTGAGGCCCGATTTTCCTCGTGTGCTTCAACCAAACAATGTATTGCAATGGACTGAGTACAGAGGAAAATATGAAAATATAGCTGTTTTCTATCCAGCTGTACATTAAAATGATTTGCAAACGTTTAAAACCGTGTTACTCCTCTCACTATTTTAAAAAAATACTTGTTTTTCATAAAATATAAAATTTAAGTTAGCATGTAATGAATTTACTATTGTTATTTTAAAACTAATACAGGTTTTGCCCTGGCCAGGTAGTTTGATTGGTTAGAGCATCGTCCTGATACACCAGGTTTGTGGGTTCAATCCCTGTCAGGACACATACAAGAGTCAACCAATTAATGCATAAACAAGTGGAACAACAAATCAATTTCCCCCCTCTCTTTCTCTCCATTCCTCTCTCTCTAAAATCAATAAACAGAAAAATAAGATAAGGCTAATATATAATTTTTAGATTCCTGCTTTAATGTTTAATATGGTAAAATCTAATATGGTAAATATAAAACATTGGGGGAGGGTATTCAATAACTTTTTAAAGAGTATAAAGGGGCCCTGAGCTTAAAAAGTTGGCGACTCATTGCGTCTGACTATGTTATGCCTCTAGGTGTTTCCCTGGGCTGTGTCCCCTGTCTAGAATATAGTTTCTTCTTCCACATTTGCTTGGAAAATACTTATATAACTATAAATATTTCCTTGTTTCTCATCTTCCCTACAGTTATTCATTCCTTTTTGTGTACTACTATACCCTGAAAACATTTATTTTATTTCTCATATCTCTGCATTGTTTAGGCATCTGTGTCCCTGACAAAACCACAAGCTCTCAAAGCAGCAACCCTGTCTAGTTATTTCCAGTGTTCGGTACAGAGAACATGATCTATGGATATTTGTTGAATGAATGGACTAACATCAATCAGGGGGCCTGCATTTTATTCCAGTTCTGCCTCTAACCAGCAGTGTGACTTTGGGTAAGTCACTTGACCTGTCTTACACTCAGTTTCCTCATGGACAACATGAGAAATTAGACCTGATGACCTCTGAAGTTTCTTCCTACTCCCATATTCCTGTCCGGGCTGAGTACTAGGTGCGTGCTGGCTGGGAGTCCAGATTGGTGTGACTCCCATACAAAATAATTGACATTTACCACGGTTAGTAATATTAACTGTACTGGGATCTTCCTTCTTTTCTTCCAACAAAAGAAAAAGGTGGGGGTTCTTGCTCCTTTTGGTTCTGGGTCTTCCCTGGGTGTGTAGCAGCATAGCCCTCAGATGGTGACCCTGGATTAACCGAGCCATCCTGTATTTACTGCGACCTCTCTGTCTTTCCTGTTTGACTTCTAGCTTTTACAATCATTCCCTACCTCCTGCCTCTTCAGTGTGTGAGAAAAAAAAAAAACAATCCTAGTCTTCAGGGTTGGTATAGAAAAAGGAACAAGATGGGCAAACTTAGAAGCCCATGAGCTTAGTTCAAACAGAGGTTTCATTGCCTTACCTTCCAAGAACTGTCGGAGGCCCGGATCAGGGTGGACAGTAGGTCTTGGAGAATCACCATTTTCTGTTTGAGAACCAGCTCCCTTTGTAGGGCCTCCTGGGGAGCAAAATGCAAGAGGCCAAGATTAACCTGGAGGAGGAGGGAGTGGATGGATGGAGGAACTGAAGGGGGAGTTCACACATTGCTTACTTTGAGGTACTCGGAAAGCTGGATGATTTCCTAGAGAGAAGGAAAAAGGGTCGTCAGGAAGATTCTAGTCCTGGGTCCCGGGACATGGAACCAGAGCTGGGGTTGACTTGTGCAGAGACAAGTTTCTTCCTTGGTTCGGACAGAGTCCCTCCAGCCCCTCATGTCTATGCTCATCCAGGAGAAGGTGCCCCTCCATCCTAGCTGAGTTTATCATGGAATTCCAGCATATCAGAGTTTGGGGCAGCTTGTATACCATTTGATTCAACCCCTCCAAGGGAAGGAGTATCTTACCTTATCTAGAACGGCAACTCCATCACTGGGAAGAAAAGAAATAAAAACAAAAATGACAAGGGGGCAAAGAAACTAGCACGTCAGGAGGCAGTGGGTGGATTCCATCTCTGTTCTCGGAAAAGCCAATAGGGTGGGGAGATCCTCTTTTCGAATCAAGGTGGACATGGAAATTCCTCGTGTTCCCTCTCTACATATGAGGCGAGGGCATTCAAGTGAAAGCTTAGATGAGAGGGATGGAGGGGATGTGTGGGAGTTGGCGTCAGAAACATGAAAGGTACTCACTTGGTTTGCTGACTGGCATCATTCTTAATTGCTGGCTGTGCTTCTTTTGCCTTTGTCTGAGTGCCTGAGAGATGGAGGATGAAGTGATTCAGAACCCGGGGAAGAAGGAGGGGAAAGGGGGAGGGACAGGGACTGTCCTCTGCCAGCGAGCTGGAACGGACGTGGCAGGGTTCTCTGCAGGCCCCAGGGAGGGAGGTTCTGCTCATACCACGGTGATGTTTGGGTGGCTTCTTGATGGGAAAGTCCTGTGCTGGAAGGTCCCCGGCCTGGGAGGGGAGGTGAACCGCTGGATCCCTCCTGATGCTTGAGAGAGGATGATGCTGGGCTGGTAAGACTTCACAGCTGCTCCCTGACACCTAGAAAGCAAGTGGGGGATGCTGGAGGCCTAGAGCCACTAGTCCAGGATTCTCCAGCTGATTGCAGAAGGACGAACCTATGGTCAACTGTTAGGTCCAGAGGACCCAAGTCATCCTTTCAAGCCTTCAAAGCTACAAGGTTATTTGCTCTTGCCCTCCCTTGTTCTGGTGGGCAGGAATGGTGTCAGGAGCTGGGCTTGTGTCCAGTTATACTCTCTAGAATCCCGATCTACCTTGTTTGGTCTCAGCCAGTTACACAGCCAGCCTGGTGACATGGAAAGAGAACTGGTCCGAGCGGGGAGTGAGGGCATCTGGGATCAGAGCTTGCCTTTTCCAGATCTCGTCTCCTGTCTCGGTAATGAGTTCGGAGTAGATGAACTCTAAGGTCCCTTCTGAATTCTAGAGATGGCTTCCTTCCTCTGAGTAATAGCTGGAATATCACTGAGGTGTGTGTGAAGAGAAGGTAAACTAGGGAGTTATAGGGAGAATGTAGTAGTAGTTGTCACAGTTTAGTATGCTTTTTAAAATATTTCTTCTTACACATTAAAAAATTCTATGCTTGGCCCTGGCTGGTTTGGTTCAGTGGTTAGAGTGTAGGCCTGTGGTCCAGAGAGACCCAGGTTCAGTTCCCCCTAAGGGCAGGTGCCTCGGTTGCAGTTTGTCCCCAGCCCTGGTTGGGTTGTGCGGGTGGCAGCCACTCGATGTGTCCTTTTCACGTCGATATTTCTCTCCTCTCTTCCTTTCTTTCCCTCCCACTCTATCTGAACAAAAAAATGGAAAAATGTCCAAAAAATGGAAAAATATCCTCGGGTAAGGATAAAAAAAAATTCTATGCTTCTAATGTAACACTCAGAGGCTAAGAAATGCCTGTGGTATTTAATCATGCAATCTCAATAAAACTTTAGATAATGGAGCCCTGGCTGGTTTGGCTCAGCAGTTAGCATCGGCCCGCAGACCAACGAGTCAGGGGTTTGATTCCGGTCAAGGGCATGTACCTTGGTTGCAGTTCATCCCCGGCCCTGGTTGGGTCTGCAGAAGGCAACCAGTCGATGTGGTTCTGTCACATTGATGTTTCTCTCTCCCCGCCTCCCTCCTTCCTTCTCACTTTATCTAAAAAATTTTAAAAATTAAAAAAAAAAACTTTAGATAACAGATAGGCTCAGTTGGAATTGTTTAGTTGATTGTGTTTCCTGATCTTTTTAAAAAGATGTATTTATT